TTTGGGGAAAATGGAATAATTTCGGGGTAGTTTCTTTGATTCGTTAAAATATTTGATAACTGCTGCAATATTGCAACATTGCTGCAATCAGAATCGACTGAAACTGATACTAAATAAATAATTAACCCTTTCTACTCTGACTCTCAGTCATTTGATTCGATACAACAAAGGAATTTGAATATTTCATATTTCAAATTAAACTTCGTTACATGAAATATCGAAATAACCCCTTTGCTTAATTTATCTGTGAATCATCGTTAAATCAGTTTCAAACAATATCACCTATATCTCGTTAAAAAGTGTTGAATATTTCCATTGAAGAACTTTCGAGTGCAAAGGTTTAAATAAATTTAGAAAAAGGGAGGAATACGTTGTGTCCGTAACATCGGTTTTTATTCCGCGCGCCTTTGATCGCTGTACGCATTCCGCGGATTCCTCAAGTTTTCGTTTCGCATTCTTTGTCGTTTTGCGGCTATAAAGTGGAAATGTCAGAGGCACGGAAGTATTCCGGGATAACCTTTAGACGAATTCGAATTCGTCGAATTAATGCGGGTAATAAAATAAATGTGCGTCGGTGAGGATAGCTAAATACTTTTAATCGTCTACGTTCGTTACTACGTTCGACCGATCGCTCTAATTTATTCGTCGAACATTTAACATTATATTTCCTCCATTTTGTAGATTTTGCACTATGAAATCGACATTCAACGTGTTAAACTTGATTCGAATTAATTATCCATTTAAAATATATTACAACAATATATCTGAGTTTCTTTTTCACTGAAAATTGCCAGCACAATTCAGTTTTCCAAAAATCAGCCAATCAGCAATGTAATAATCCGGTTCAATTACTAGTTTAACATTAATTCCAATCAAAATTTCGACTATTTTCACATTTTACAAAGAGCAACCTCCATTATAGCTCCGAAAAACCATGAAAATTTCGAGGAAAATGATTTTCCAGAAGTTTATCGACGTGACAGCGACGTTCGATTCGCAATGTAACATCGATAATCCGGTCCAATTACTACTCTAACATTAATTCATAACATTAATTCCAACCAAAATCACTATTTTCACACTTTAAAAAAATCAACCTCCATCATAGCTCCAAAAAACCATGAAAATTTCGGGGCAAATTTTCCAGAAGTTCGTCAACGTGACAGCGACGTCCGATTCGCGCTCAATTAAAGCTGCTTACGATTTTGGATTCCGGTAACGAGGTGGTCGCCGGGAAAATGAATTTCCCCGACACTTCGATAGTTCGTAATAAACGGTCGGAAGGGCCCTCCGACACTATCCTCGCGCGCGACGAGTGTGTTGCACGCGCGATCGTTATCTCCGGCAAAGTGGTAACGTTTTGTTTTTAAATTTTTCCCAATTACAACTGCCGCGCGCGGTTTCGAGTGTCCTCGACAGTTTGACGGAGTTTTAACGATCCGACATGGGGAATTGACTTCGTTATTATCATTGCGGTCCTCTCTGCGCGACACGCGCCACCTTATCTCGCGGATTAAAGAGCACGCCGACGAGAATCGTTCAGCGAGTCGATTGTTCTTGTTACCGTTGTTTCGAACCGTGTCACGCTGATTTTAATTGTGTATATTTACGTGTACGCTTCGGGATAATGAACGATCGTTTGCTGTAATTACTGTCGATGGAAGGTTTATACGAAAATATGTCGTTGTGAACTTTTCAGAAATCTAGTGTGATTAATGAATCTTATCCTTGATTTCAGATACAGTATGATTTTTATCTGCGATCGTTTGCTGTAATTATTGTCGCTTGGAAGGTTTATACGAAAATATGTTGGTTGCGTTGTAAACTTTACTGAAATCTACTGTAATTAATGAATCTGAGTAATGTTCTTGATTTCAGATCCAGTGTGATTTTTATGGATCGTTTGTCTAACACGTTAGATCGTTATAATTTCTAACTAATAAATCTAATGTCCTTGATTTCAGATTCATTTGTCTGATTCTTATGGATCGCTCGTGTAACACGTTAGGTCGTTAAATTTCTAATGCTATTCAATCATACAACGAAAACTTAAAAACTAACTATTTTGCTATTATCAATAATCTTCAAATGCAGTTTCCACTTTATGTAGGAAAATTTTGGTGCGTCTCCTAAACTGTTGATAATTGTTCATTACTTACGGATCAAAACTACTTTGCTACAATCAATTACCTTCAAACGAAATTTCCACATGTAGAACAGAAAATTTTGCGTTTCTTCCAAATTGACAATAAAATGTCACACATTAGTATCGAAAGTAAACAGTACAACGTGTTATCGATCGCCAGAAAAGTGTACCGATCCTTTGACAGACTGCGCCGAGCTCGTTGGCGTTGTTTTACATTCACTCTATATTTCAGCCGGGAGCTCATACGCGCGGCGGAGCAGAAGCAAAGCAATCTATTGCTTTCGCAGACTGTACACCAGATGGTTCTTAGGAAGCAAAGTGGAAGAAAATTGGATTTTTTTATTTATAGCGACGGCCATAGAGCAGCGTGGCGCCGGTATTACCTGGATATCGTTAAACAGAACAGCCGTACGATCCATTATTCCGGACGCGAGCTTAAGTTGTCGTTAACGACTGTTCGCGGAGCGTTGTTTACACGAGTCGCCGTTCCTAATCAACTTCCATACCTTTTCGTTCTGCTCCGATTTACGTGGTTATTGCAGAATGACGATGATCATCATTTAAAGACCGGTCTCGCTTTAATTGTCGAGCCTTTCGACTTACCTGAAACAGAAAGATAAGATTACGTTAGCTTGCGCAGCGGAATGGAGCTGTGTTTAGCTTTTGGTTAGGTTGTTTAGGGAGATGCAGCTTGTATTTTGTTTATCGATGTTTTTAGTTGGTGTGAAAGACGTCAATAGTTGCGATTTATTCAAATTAACTGTACTGATCAAAGGTATTGTCTTATTAGGGAATCTAGTGCGCTTGAAGCAGCGATGTTCGATTGGAGGATGTTTCGAGATTAGAGTGAGTCTTTAGTGATTTTTGAGTAAGTTTAATTATTACATTTCAACAGGAATTAGATATGTATCATTTTGATTCGCATCTTGTGGTGTTTAAGAGGAAATTCAACACTTCGTTCTCTGCGTTTGAGTAGAATTTCACGCTTAACAAAGTAATAATGACGTTTCAGGAATGTTATCATTCACCACGTAGAAACAGTGCCTCGTAGATGTAGAAATGGATGTGCAACGTATTACGTAATCTTCTCATAGAATCACAATTAACTGTTCATAGCGACCTGCATTCAATTCTTCAATAAGAATATTTCTAGGAGATAAGGTCTTTCTGCAGCGAATCAATAGAAATTCAAAGATTACAGCGAGCCAGGTTTTCGAGAATCCCACGATCATTCAGTGCCCGCGAGGAAAGGTCTCCGCGTTTATCAGTTAATTAGTCGATAAACCTGCCAGACGCGACCGAGCAATCCCGACTTTATGTACCATGTTTTCTCCGTTCCCGTTTTGCGTTCTACTCGAACGTTTTGAATGGCAATTCACCCGAGGGGAGCCCCGCGTGGCTTTCTCTTGTCCCTCCTTTGAAATTAGAACGCGCAGTAACATTAATTACCCCGATTCCATCGCGTGAATTCGAAAGATATTCTCCGCGTTGGCCGACTTCCGTGAACTTTTCGGGAAAATACAAGAAACTGGGGAACTTAACCCTTTGCCCTGTGATTTATCTCTCAACGATGATCGATTAACACTAGAACTACTGTACCAGTCAAAATGACTTTCGATTTTGTTTAGCAATTATCGATATCTTCGAAGCATTGAATATTCGAAATGATTTTGAAAATAAATAGTTTTACTAGAGTACTATAACGAATTTCTGAAACTGAGAATAATCTATTTTAGATAAATCTAAGATTCCGATTTGTTCGGCAAGGGGTTAAGTGCCTAAACGGAAACGGAGGAGTGAATTTTGAGCTGCCACGCAGTTTCCCGGACATGCACAATTTCCATTCTCGCGGCAGATATTTTCTGAAAGTAATTTAAAATACGCTGCGCGTAAAAGTTACTTCGCCGGGAGAACATAAAGTACTGCGGGTGAAACTGATATTCGTGTTCGTGAAGCTATGATGTACGTTCCGTGGCAAGTTCTTGCACCTTAGGTGGATTATAATGGAAGGATCTTGTTGTAGATAATTTTTGTAGATGATTTCTAATCGTCGCGTTCGTTATCGTTACAGCTGATTCTCACATTCTGCAGATTTTCTATAAAATTCTAGCTAGAATCGGTTCCTTTCTCCCCCGCACCAAGAAAATGGCAATAGTTTTCTATTCCCAGTTGAAATTTCACCAAATAAAGCTATCACCGCGATTCTATAACATATTCTCCATCGATCGAGCTTTCTTAATGAGCGTATTCTAAAATTACAGCTAAACTCCATGGAAATAGGTCGAAAAGTCCGGCTAAATCGCGAAGTAAAAGAATTCTCCGAACACGGCGCTGTATCGGCCAGAAAACGTAATCGACGAGGCGATGAAATATCAGCAGCGCGGAGTCGTGTCGCAACTGGCCGCTTCCGGTTTCGTAATAGCCGGCTCGTGGCTGCCGACGCGAAATGACACGGAAGCGGTTGTTCTCCAAACGAATCGCCTACAGTCCGGTCTACTTCGTGCTCCGATGCGTCGGTTCAATGCCGGTGATAATTTCAAAGGGAGCAGAAATTCCTCTTCGATTATCGTTCTTGCCCACTGAACGAAATGGAAAATACTCGAGATAACTGCCCCGGCTCGACACAAAAGTCGTAATCGCCGTGATAAACGCGCGCATCTCGGGGATTTCGCTGTTGCGTCACGTTTAGAGAGCTCGGCGCGAACACACCGACTAATCGGAGATCTCGAAATTTTCAGCGCGTCTTCGATTCAACTCGATCGAAGAATTTCTGCCGTTTGAAACACTCGTTTCGCGACCTTCGGACCGTTTCAAACGGATTCAATTGCAGTGTTCCTTCGTGTGACTCATTTAACCCTTTCGGAGCGAAATTCTGTCACGGTTTTCCAAATAAGTTTTTTAAAAACTCAATTTTCTTATTGCTTGTGAGTATTTTGTTTTTATATTCTTCACTGATACTATTAATTCGAGAAAAGTCTTTTAAATTTTTCTCTTTTCTCTCTTTTTAAATTTTCTTATTGCTGGTGAGTTTATTTTGTTTTTCTATACTTTACAGATACTGTTAATTCGAGAAAAGTCTTATCTTGACGACTGCTTTACTCAGAGTAACTGGTAAATGCTCATTATTATTATTATTATTATTATTGCACACATTGCTTAATGTAAAGTATGGTAATTTGGTCAAAATGACTCACTGCTGATTTCTTTGACCCTCTGCAGACGAATGTCGACATTTCGAGATGAAATTTCCATATTTAGAGTAGCTCGCGAACGAATGATCTAATTAGTCAACAGAGATCCCTACGTTTCCTTTCCTATCAATTCACAAATTACGTAATTTAGCTTCATCTGCCGAAGATTTTCATTTCAAAGTCCTTCAACATTCATTTCAACGCGTCCTTTCAATTAAAAACCGACCAACAAAAGATAAATAATATTTCCTCATCATCGGTTTCCTCAACTTTCCCAGGATCCAGTTCGATTCGTATCTCGAGTTTACTTTTTACGTGTTCCCAGACCGAGTAGTTTTATAGCGAAATTTTCGGTTGCTCGCGCAAAAACACACGGATTAAAGTCCGGCAGGCTTTGTGTCCCGGCGACTTTTTGCGGCGGTCTCGAGGGACGAGGAGGAGGAAGAGGCAGAGCGGCGTTTCATTCGTGATTACGTAATTATTCTTCACGAGGCAGACGTTCCGGCCGGGCGGGGGCAGACTGGTTTTTTTGCCGCGATCTTTCGCCGGTATTTTCGCCGGGCGCAGAAATACATCTTCTAATTTGCATAGTAAATTTGCCCACGACGGCGTAACGTTTCGAGGACTTCGGCCGGCGACGTAAGGACATCGTTTGCGAGCCCTTTCGCGGGCTCTGCGACGCTGAACCGAGTGTTTCTTCGTTTTAAAAAACATTTCGAGGATGGACGTTGTTACGGCGTACCTTCTCGATTTTCGATGCGTATCCGGAATAAAACTCAAATCAAAGTATTCGTATCGATCACAGTTGAGAAAGAAATAAAAGAAGCTGAAGTAATACCTAAGCTGAAATTTAAACCAATTCAAATCTTAATGAATCCACAGTTTTTATAATGAAATTTTCAAAAGTCAGTTTAAGTGCTTGGTAGTTCTAGTGTTAACTCCTTGAACTATGATTTCTTTCTCAATTCTGATTGATACGGCTAAAAATTAGCATATATTGTGCCTATATTTCCTTTTATGTGTAATAGTTGATTAGAGAGGAATAATATTTACTTTGAAGTCGAATGAACTGTTGAATCATGTTGAAAATCTTCACCACGAGTCTGACTCGTTGTAGAAGAAGGGGTTAACCCTTTGCACTCCGAATTTTTGAAAGTAATTACAAATACGTCGTCTTCCAAATACGAGCATTTCATCTGATGTCGACGTACAAATTACATTAATTTAGTTAAATTAAGTGCAAGGGGTTAATGCAACCTTCGACATATGAAACTAAACTACACGTCAATTGCTTAATTAATAGAAAAAGGGAAACTGATCCCTTGCTCGATTAATTAGATCATTTATCTACTCAGTCTTCCAAATCTGAAGATTCCATCTCAAACGTCGAAATTCGTCCGCAATCGTTGAAGATCGAGGAACATCCGTTGGTATCGGTAGATAATCTCGATGACGAATCAGCAGAAAGTTGAGTGACTTCGCGGCGATACAAATTCGAAAGTGCTCGGCGGCCAGAGGCTCGGATAATACGCAAAAGAGAAGCTTAAAAAGTAATTACCGGCGAGGAGGGCGCGCCGGTTAAAAATTGGCGTATATAAAAAGTTTTCTAATTTCAGAAGCTGAGGACCGCGGAACAAAATGGAAGGTGCGCAGTGCTCCAACGTGTACGATCTTTTCGAATTCCGAAGTGAAACGTAGATTTGTCGATGGAAAAAAGCTCCGAGCAATCTACGATCTTCACAAGCAAAGCGCAGAGGGAAGATGAAATTCTAGCGTAAATATTGAACCGACGCTCGAGTCGCTTCGTGTCGTTCTGTTTCGGAAGCATTCACTATTTAGAGGGAAACGTAAACAATCTCGTTCCTCGGACGAAAAGCTTCGGAGGATGTATCAATTGCTTAACACGTGTACCACCGGTGCCTCATAGTTATTCTCGATGGAAACGAAGGAACTCATAAGTATGCGGTTCAATTCAAGACGCAAATACACAAACTAAGACAGTAAGTCTAAGAAACTAAGCAAAAGTAAAACTGAGAGACTAAGTCTACACAGAAGTAGACTTTCGTTGAATCTCCAATCACTTTTCAAAGAGTATTAACGGAATTCCACGCGGACAAAAGAAACACCAGTAAGATATCATATTAGACAGTGCGTAGAGTTCAAAAGGTTAAGAGCCAAGATTAGGTACATGGACCAGTATTATTCCATTTGACTGAATATGTTTCTATTCAACTTCGTGCCACCATAAAGAAACAATCTAAATGAATTCCTACAAATTCCTCAAACAATCTAAATGATTTCCATTGCATTAGAACCTAAACAGTTGTAATAATAACTAAGTCAAGTTGTTACCTCTATCGTATCCATTAAATTCATAGAAAGAGGTTCATAGAAACCAGAAAATTTGTCGTCTCAGCCACTACATGATCCCATAGAAAAGTGAAATTGAACAAGTTCCCGATACATGACTCGAGTGGACGACGGAAAGGCGAATGCTAATTAGACCGGTCGGACTTTCCTCGGAAGTTTCATTAATGTATGAACCGGCAATTATCGGCGGGATCGGTGCGCGAACGTGCTCGATACGTCGAGTGCGCCGCGACTTCCTTGAATCGGAAAGACGTTTAAATGCTCTCCGGCGCACTCGAGCAACCGCAAACAGCGTCTTGAAAATTTGTGGTAATGCGCCGCCGCCGCTCTAATGGAATCACGCCGCGTTCCTCCGTATGTTCCGGCGAGTTCACCGCCGGGAATTGCAGTTAAACTTTACTAGATTCGAGATGTTTTGCTGATGTAAACTTCGCGATACACTTCCGGCAGCGTTCGCCGGGTAATCGGATTTTCGCTCGATGACCGGCCAGTCGAACTGCTGGAAACGTTACGTGTTCGCTGGAATTTTCGAGGATCAAACGAGACCAAAAACCGCTGCCACTCGAGCCGTTCGCGCTGCTGCGCTCGGACTGTACAATATGGCCGAACGAATGGCAGTCTGAGAAATCTCGAGCCAAGATGGCGGCGCGTGGAATATACTGTAAAGTCTAGAATGAGCTTTGAAAATTCTCTATTTGGAAGCTGTAATCAATTCGAATCGAATTGAAAGTTTCTTTAAATGCTCTGGTAGTTAGCAAAGTTGCATAGCTAAGTGTCTTTATTAAAAACGAGATTTCTCATCAGTACGCAATGTGTTAAAGGCGCAATTTCGCAAAGAACTTCGTGAAAGTCTTCAATATTCAATCTCCTAGCTTCGAAAAAACTACTTAAGGATTTTTGTGTTTTTCAAAAATAAAACATGTTTAAACACCATTTAATACCACAATACCGATGATTCGGCTGGGTTTGGTATTAAGTAAGATTTGCTACGTGTAATTATCAGAACATTGATAATTAAGTCGAGAGGAATGTGGAAATATTGAAAGTATCAGGAAAGTTCCCTCGACTGCGAATGCTTAATGAAAACAGTAAGAACAATATATTTAAATAATCAATTCCAGAGAAATACAGAGAATTACAAATTACACATCGTCTGTTCAGATCATCGAAAAGGAGAAACTACTGATCTGCTGCTTCAGTAATTAAATCATTTGTTCGCGACAACGCAAGATTCTCCATTACGCGCAATGTGTTCACTCTGAAATTCGCCACAATTCGTCAAGCGTATCAATGCGACTCACCCGAATGCATAATTAACCTGTTGGCTATGGAGTTTAATTTCAAAAATTTCAGATAATAAAGTGTCTACTCGGTAAACGCACGCCAAATGCATCTATAATACATTCTAACGAAGAACTAAAGCGAAACGAAGAAGAAGTATATGTTTATCCGAAGAAATAAATAATTGAGCATTGAAACAGCATTATTATTGCACGCTGAGCTCGTTCGTAATACAGAAATATCTTCAAATAATCGTTAATTGAAATGAACTGTAATTCAACGTGTTAATCCTTTGAAACTTCTCTGAAACATAAAATCCTCAACAGACGAAGCTAAATTACACACCAATCACTCGAACAACAGAAAAATAGGAAACTACGCACCGATCTCTTGATGATTTAGTAACTAAATCATTTGTTTGCTACTCAGTGCTCCAAATATGAATTAACTTTGTAACAAAGACTCTCTGAAATAGAAAAATCGGAAACTACGTACTCGCTATCCGAGTAATTAAATCATCTGTAAATCATCTTCCAAATATGAAAATTTCATCTCGTCGAAACTACTACAGAAATCGATTCAACAAAACTGAAATGTAAATCACTAATCTGAATATTTCGAGAAGTCTAGAAATTTCCAAAACGATTCAGTTGAAAGTGCGCACGAGGTCGGCGCATGGCGAAGCTCCCGCATGAGCCGGGAATCTATCAAAATGAGAATGTCCGGAGACATCGATTCAGCGAGGAGGACGGCGAGGCACGTGCGAGCTCGTCATTTCGTGGCTCTCGTTTAAGGACACGTCTGGCGAATCCCGAGACCGATGGCTCGCTCGTGACGATTTTTTAGGATGGCTGAGTGTCGTGGGATTGCTTGATCCCCGGCCGTCAGATTTCTACTCCGGCGGAGCGGCGCCTGAAAAATGCGAGAGCGAAGAGGAGAGAGAGGAACGAGAACTCTCGACTGCAGTCTCAAGGAATAGGACGCCGGAACCAGTCTGGCGCGGTGTTTCGCCGGCTATTGTTAACGCCGCGGACGAGTTTCGATGCTGAAACGATGGAATGCCGCGTGTCGCAAATTCTTGAATATTTCGGAGCAATCCCGATCTTGGTTTCTCCAGGTGCGAAGCTCAGATGGAAGAGACCGAAATTTGATGTGGAGAACGAAAATTGGGTAAATTTGTGAGTTGATGCATTGATAGTTTGATTTAGGTGAGAAACCGTTCTGCAGTGGAGAAAAATGAAGGTTCTCGAAGGACGAATACGTAGATTTTAATTGAAACGTATGAAAGCTTCAATATATGATGCTAAATTACATGTCGATTGATTAGTTAATAGGGAAAAGAAACTACGGTCTGATCTCTTGATGTTCGAGTAATTAAATCATTTGTTCGCGAGTTAGTCTTCTAAATACGAACGTTTCATCTTATAGAAATGCCGAAATCCGCGAAAGGTTAATGAGAGATCGAAGCGAAACAAAGAATTACATGTTTATGTGAAAACATAAAGAAAACATAAACATAAAGAAAATTAAACTGATCCTACGGATGTATATATTAATCACAGAAAGATTCTATGAGATACTTTTGTGATTACTTTCATAGATTACAGTATAATGCGCAGATCACGGACATTGCAGAAATATTCTAAACGATTTTGAAAATAAATAGTTTCATTTCATATAATGAATGTCTGAAGAAACAGAAGATAATCTATTATTACAATTTTTATGAGAATTGCACATTAATCGTGTTAAATGCTAGTTCTAGTGTTAAGCATCACTGATGGCCGCCGCATCTGAGCTCGTCCGTAAACAAAATGGCGTACGGTACAAAGGTTGGCTTGACGAAATCCAACTAGATCACGAAAATTGCAGGGTGCCTAAATTCATTCATTAACCATTGACATTTATCATAAACATTAGGAAACACGTGTTATATTTCGAAAACAAGTGAACTCAAGAAATTTTGACGAGAACTAAATTGATACGTACAATCTATACACCATGTACATTAATTACAGAAATATTCCACGAGATATTTTCGTAATTACTTCCACAGAGTATTTAATGCGCAGAATAGACGAAATTCAACTAGATCTCGAAAATTGCAAGATGCCAAAATTCATTCATTAACCATTGACATTTAGAATATATACAGATTATATTTAGAAAACAGGTGAACTCGAGAGAAATTAACATTAATTACAGAAAGATTGCACGAGATATTTTCGTAATTACTTCCAGAGTGCAGTGTCTAATGCGCAGAATAGACGAAACGATACACTTCCTTTCTTGTTTTCTGTTTAGTGGAAGTTGAAGTAATTTCTTCTGAAAGCGCAGCGTAGGAGAAGCGCAAAGCCGCGTTTACAAGGCTCAAAGAGTTTTTCGCCGGTGGTGGAAGGCAACGTACGCGGTAAAGCAGGCAACACGTACCGCCTTAAGACGTGTCTCCGAGCTCGCCTCGCGACAACATAATAGGTGCTTCATTTTGCACTGAAAGCAGTTTCTCCCCTGGCTCTAATTTAGTCGTCGGAATTCCATGGTTCTTCATTTCATGGCTCGCTCTTCAGCGACGAGATTCGTGCCCTATTGGTTTACTTTGCTGGCCGAGCCATCGATCGCGAATCCGTCCGCTCAATTCAACACGATCGCGTCGATGATCGTTTCGTCAGCCACTCTATCGAGTGTTTAAATGGTGCCATGTGACTCTCGAATGATTAAAGTATTGTCTTTGTCTATAGGACCAAGATTTATGGAAATGAAGTAATCAGAAAATTTAAGGGGAGTTCAAATGGGGTCACATCGGGGTCAAACCGACCAATTCCTCATTTCGAGGAATGATTAAAGTATTGTCTTTGTTTATAGAACCCAAGTATTAAAAGCTCAAGAAACTTTTAGAAATGCAGTATGACATAGTCAGAATTTAAAGAAAGTTCAAATGTCAAAGTCACATTGGTCAAAATGACCAATTCCTAATTTCTTCAGTTAATTATTGCAAAGGCACAGACACTTTACAGAATGATTAAATTTAGCAATATCTAAATTGAGATAAACCAATTGAAACCTTAGATTCACGGTTTTATTTGTAAAGAAATTTGAAGACGATTTAAATGCTCGGTAGTTCTAGTGTTAATTAATCTTTATCTTTATTGTCCTAGAAAAAATATTGATATACACAGTAGTTTCGATTATTCAATCACCATTATCACAGTATTATCCCTAAAATACCATTAAACTGTAAAAAATCACCAAAACTTTTGCAATTATTAAAACGACAGGTGTTTCTCTGCGAGAAGATTAAGAAATTTGATTCAGCAATACGCAGACTCAATGGTAAACCAATTAAAGTCTTAACCCTTCGCTTCAACTAATCGACAGAAATGAAACTACGTACTGCCGTTTGTGCCGAATTCGTCTGCAAAGGTTAATAGACGCATTTCTGGAGTTTCCGAATTCCAAAAACTCTATCTGCTCGATAGTTAGACGACGATCTAGATGAAAATTTTCAATTCCCAGCGAAACGATTGTAAATGTTTTGTCAGTGGAAGGAATGTTCCATTGATTACCGAAGTGTTAAGAAAAAATAATCCTGAGAAATTCCATTGATGAAAGATGAAGCGCCTCATTAAGGAACGGATTCCCGGAGTAGGAATATCTTTAATGCCCGTGGAAGGTATTATTTGCCTGTTCATTGCGCGGTTCCTCGGCCTTTATATTATTCAACATATTGCCGTGGATCCCCGCGCATTGAATAAGGGAATTTTATATACCAATAAAGCGGCGTGTAGCGGCCCGGCCAGAAGCTCCGCTAATACATCAGGGATAAAGCGAAATCCT